GAGTAATTATGCGTCAAAGAGCTGTTCATATTACTTCTGAGATTATATTCAAGAAATCAGAACTCAAAGGAAAGTTGCTAGAGAGTTGCGTAAGGGAGGTTGCAGAGTTTGAATTGACTTTAATAAAAGAAGCCTTTGATGGAGATTTTGAAGAAGGCCATAAAAAGATTGCCTGATACTATATCTGAACACTGAATCATTGAGGAGTAACCTGAGAGAGGCCAAAGGTTTATTTTCTCTGTTACTGATCATAAACGAATTAACTCATATGAAAATACTAAATTTATGTTTCAATGACAACTTAGAAATTGTTGGGAATTTGGATATTTTGATTAATTTTAAAAACTTGCACATCAGTTGGTGTAGAATCAAGACAATTTTTCTTTCATTTTCAAAACCAAAACTCTTTAAGTATTAGATTTTAATAAAAGTATGATAACCAGAAGTTCAACTGCATTTAATAGCTTGAAAATTTTGAACCAGTTAAATACAAATAACAATTTAATTGACAAAATTGAAAATATTGAAAATATTGAGAAATTAAAAAATCTATAAACCTTTTTTATTTCAGGTAACAAAATTAGTGCAATTAAAAATGAAAGTGATAATCTGAATGTTTGTATATTGAATTTTAATTTATAATCTTGTTTGGTAGAGGGAAATATCAAGAAAATCAAAACTTTTGATAAGTCAGTCAATCTAGAAAACCTTCAGTTAAATAATAATAAAATCACGAAAATTCAGGATCTAGATGAGTTGATCAATTCAAACACAATTTCGTTCCACAACAATAATATTAGAAAAATTGAAAATTTTAATTATTAAACAGATCTCCAAGGGTTGTTTATTGCACAAGATCAAATGACAAGGCTTCAGAATTTGAGTGGGTTAGTCAATTTAGAGAAACCAATGATATATGGAAATATGATTGCCAAAATTGAAAATTCGGGTTAGTTAACTAAGCTCAAAAATTGAAGCTGTTTAATTGTGGTATTTACGAAATTGAAAACCTGAAAAAGCTGGTTAATTTGAATTTGGTAATCTTAGGAAATAATAATATAATCGAAATAAAAAATATAAGTTATTTGAAACACTTTACCACTTTAGAATTGTACGATAATAAATTGACAAAGATTGAGAATCCGGAGGGATCTGGAAAGATAAATCAACTAAATCATAATCACAATGCAATTTCTAAAATAGAAAGACATGTTGCATTTATCTGGAAATGAAATTATTCTGGCTGGTCAAAAGTTTCAGAATGAGTTGAGGAAGTTTGATGGAAGATTTATTAAGAAGATTTGGATAGACAAGGCAAGTGCAAATGCTTCATTTTCGGCTGAACTTAAACTGATTATTAAAAATTTCCAGCACCTTTTCATCCTTTGGCAAGGTAAATGGTGATAGCACTAATAAATAGCTGGGTATTGACTGGACGACAACCTCCTAATCGCATTTTAACACTAGAAAGAAAGAACAATACTTTTCTTTGATCTTTTTCTTTATCTTAAAACTGAACCCACCGAAGTGGTAACAGAAATATCATGCATGCTGAGCCTGATTATGCACAGTCCGGATAATCACTGCATGGATCTCAGTTGACCCTTAATCATCACGTGCACAAGTTTTTTTCTAAGGAAAAATTTATTTCAAATCAGAGGATGAGATTTGGTTCCTCCTTTGATTCATCACCACAGCTATAAAAAGCATCTATTTTCTTTTCAATCAATTCTTAGTATTAAATATTCTACCCATATCTATTTGTTTTTTCTAAAATGTTTTCTACTTCAACATTTGGAGGATTTGGCTCCAGTAACAACACTTTTGGAAATACAAACAACACCGCCAGTGGTGGGTTATTTGGCTCCAACAACAATACAAACACCAATAAGAGCATCTTTGGAGGCTTTGGGGGCAACACCTCGAACAATCCCAATAACTCCTCAGGTGGTTTGTTTGGATCCAACAGTGCCAACAATTCCACCTCAAACAATCTTTTTAATTCCTCTAACTCAAACAGTGGTGGGCTATTTGGTTCAAATAATACCAATTTATCTCCCTTCAGTTTAAATAATAATAACAATACCAATACCCTGTCCACGGGCTTATTTGGAAATGCGAATAATAGCAATAACACTACTAGTGGAACATCTTTAAAACCATTTGAATCTTTTATTGAAAAAGATGTAACAGGCTCAACTAATGTATTTCAAAGTATTACTGCAATGCCAGAATACAAGAACTATTCTTTTGAAGAATTAAGATTCCAAGATTACTCTCAAAATAGAAGATTTGGCACAAATAACAATAATAACAATTCAAATTCAATTTTTGGCTCGGGGAACAATTCAACTTCTAATAATCTATTTGGTAACAACAATAATAACAGCACCGTTTTTGGCTCCTCGAATAATACAGCTGGTGCTGGCTTATTTGGAAACTCAAACAATAATACCGGTGGTTTATTTGGGAACACCAACAACAATTCAGCTTTTGGTTCATTTGGTAATAATAATAATAATAATAACACCTCAAATAATTTGTTTGGCGGTTCAAAGACAAACTCATCGTTTGGCACTGGATTTGGAACAAATAATAATACCAACAATGTTGGTGGTATCTTTGGTAATAACAACAATAATGCATCTGGCACTGGTTTATTTGGAAACAACAACAACCCTACTACTGGAGGTGGTCTATTCAGAAGTAATACCAATAATACTAACAATAGTGGTGGTTTGTTTGGAAATACTAACAACGCAAATGCCGGAGGTGGTTTATTTGGGAATAATAGCAACACTAATACTGGAGGTGGTTTATTTGGTAACAATAACAATAATGCCACTGGAGGCGGTTTATTTGGCAATACCGCCAATAATAATACTAATAACGCTGGGGGTGGAATTTTTGGAAATACAAATAATTCCACTTCTGGTAATTTATTTGGAAATAACAATAATAACACTTCTGGTGGCTTATTTGGAAACAAAAATAATAATACATCTGGAGGTGTTTTTGGTAATACTAACAATACTTCCAACAATTTATTTGCTAACAACGCTAATAATAATACCACTGGAGGTTTTTTTAGCAGTAAACCTAGTCCATCTGGCGGTTTATTTGGCAATAACAATAACAATAACGCTTTCAACTCTTTTTCAAATAATAACAGCAATACTACTGGCTCTGGTCTTTTTTCCAATAACAACAATAATGCCGGTGGCTTATTTGGTAATAAAACCAATACTTCTAGTGGTGGTTTATTTGGGAATAATAGCAACACTAATACTGGAGGTGGTTTATTTGGTAACAATAACAATAATGCCACTGGAGGCGGTTTATTTGGTAACAACAACAATAATGCCACTGGAAACTTATTTAATACCAATTCAAATACTAACACCTCAACTGGTTTAACTGGAAATCTTTTCAACACAAATAATAATAACACTAATTCAAATGCTTTTTCCGCTGGAGGTAGCTTATTCAACAATAACAATCAAAATAAAGGTGGTCTTTTTTCAAACACTACAAATAACACTGGAGGTGGGTTGTTTAATAAAGGTAATGGTCTTTTTAATAACAATAATCAAAGCGGTGGGCTCTTTAATAATAACAACCAAAATAAACCAGGTCTTTTTAACAATACACAAAATAATCAAAATCTTAATGGAGGTCTTTTTAATAACAATAATAACAATAACACCGGTCTATTTCAAAATGGTAATCTAAATAACAATTCCACCAATTTATTTAATAACAACACTAGTAGTTCTAATAATTTATTTAATAATAATAATGCTAATAATAATGGTATTTTTGGTAACGGCAATTTTAACAATAATATATTGGGCAATAACATGAATCAATTGCAATCACAACCACAACAGCAATCATTGGTCAATCAGGAATCTCATTTAACTTCTTTTTTCTCCAATCCCGATTTTTATAAGCTCATCACCCCAGAACTAAAAGAAACTTTACCATATGCATCCGTGATTGGGAAAACTAAGATTCCTAACAGTTCGTCTACTATTGTTTCCAGTGATATTTTATCATTTGTTCCTTTATTGGAATCAAATGATATTAAAGCAAGTGTTTTTAATGGAAGCAATAATAAAATTATAGCAAGTAAATTAGCTAACGCTAAAATTGACGATGTTATTCAACGCACTTTCATTAATTCTGAAGATTCAAAAGCTTTAATTATTAAAAAGTCCAAAAAACCATTGGATTTCAGTTCAGAAAAAAAGATTGTTTCTTTATCAAACTCAAAACCTAAAGAAATTGAATATCAAAATGGAAAACTTTCCAATTCTCATGATAAAGAAGGGAATGATACTAATGCTCAAAATCTTGAGAATGGTATCACTGAGAAAGCTCCAAACTTTAAATCAAGTACTGATAAAGAAAATTTAATTACTGACGAAGATGGCTATTGGTGCTCTCCCTCAATTAATGAACTCAATGAGCTATCTTTAATGAAGTTACTTTCAGTTGAAAATTTCACTGTTGGGCGTAAAGGATATGGTAAAATCGAGTTTAAAGTTCCTGTTGATCTTTCGGTGTTTTCATCATATTCTGAGATTGCTGGAAACAAAATCGTATTCAGTAAACAAGCATGTAATGTTTATCCAAACGAAGATGAAAAACCACCCGTTGGTGAAGGATTTAATGTTCCTGCAAGAGTCACCCTTGAGAATTGTTTTCCAGTTTTGAGCAAAGAAATCATTACTGATCCAACCCACCCAATTGTCAAACCTCATATTACCAAATTACATTTAATGAAAAACACCAAATTTGAAAGTTATGATCCAGTTTCTGGCGTTTGGTCTTTTTCAATTGAACATGTCTAGAACAAATTCCAACTTATTTTTGGTTTTTATTCTCATATTTCCATTTCCCATTTCTCGTTCTCACTTTTGTCCCCATTGTCTCTGGTGTTCCTAATGTCTCTTCAATTACTTATTTCATCGATACTCCCTGTACTCTTTTTATACTCTTCTTGTTCTTTTATTGTATAACATACATATCAGTTATAAATAGATCCGTAGCGATATATTCATATAGTGATATAAATACTTGTTTGTTTCTTGATATACTTATATAGCCACATAACATATACTCAATAAACAACCCCCTATCCAATTTGCTGTGATCAGGCTGATATTTTTGTAGTTTTTGAACCAGCTTTGAGCGACTTTTTTTTGCACTTTTCTTTTGGTGTTTCTTTTGGTGTTTCTTGTGTAACACACCTCTGAAACGATGCGTAAACAAATGGATCTTGGGCAGTTGCAGAAATACTTGAAGTATGCTTTGGCTCTTTCCATTGTGATGATCCTATGCTTTCTAAGTTCTTTTTTGTACCTTTCTTCTCCAGTAGAGGCAGCAGAGGCAGTAGTGACTGATAAAGTACTGATGTCCAGCGCTGGCAGCTCTTTTTCCATTAGTTTACCAATGAATGAGATATTTTCCAGGCATATGAATTCGAAGAAATACTCTCAGATCAGTCGATTAATCATTCTTCCCTGTCATGCTATTTACAAAGGCTTTGGTGCAGGCGATTCACACGTCGATTGGTATATGGAGGACTTTCAGAAACAAAGCAACGACAATGAAGTGTGGTTGTTGCAAATAGAAAGGGCTTTGGATCTTCTTCAGGCTAGTAAAGGATCAATTTTAATAATATCTGGTGGCAAGACAAAGAAAAACATTGGTCCAATATCTGAGGCATTTAGTTATTTCAATTTGATAGCGCAGAACAATTTGCTACAGAACAACGAAAACTTGATTAATAGAATTTTAGTAGAGGAATACGCCAGAGATTCTTTTGAAAACCTTTTGTTTTCCATTGCAAGATTTAATGAAGCTACAAACAGTTATCCTTCAAAAATCACCATTATTGGATACGATTTCAAGAAAAGAAGATTTTTAGATAATCATGTCAAGGCACTAAGGTTTCCCATTGAAAATGTCAATTACATAGGAATTGATCCTAGTCTTGTTCATGATGCTGATGACAATCATGACAACGAAAGATCAATCTCAATGAATGAAAAATTTGTTCAAGAATTAAATCAATTAGAATATGAAAATGCGGTTCGGCTATTTGAAGAGGATCCTTTTGGTTGTGGAGAAAAATTAATGAGAAAAAAAATCAAAAGAAATCCTTACAATTCGATCCATCCTTACTATATATCAAATCCAGTATTATATCCCTTGTTAAATTATTGCGATCTATCTTCAAGGTTATCAGACTCTCAGCTATTTGCTAATATTCCATGGGCCAAAAATACAAAACTAAGCAGATAGACTTTTGCTCAATGATAATTCACTGTCACTATCTTGATCATCGTTACTATCACTAAAATTCATCAAGTGAAACCTTGAATTCTCCCTTTCTACTTCTTCATAATCACTTTCATCATCTTCTTGGCTATTGAGCAAATCATTGAGCTCGATTTTTCTGGTTTGCATATATTCAACTTGTTTTAATTTCATATCAATCGTCTGAATTTCTTTTTCAATGGACTCAATAGCAGCGTCAGTTCCCAATGTTTCAAATTCCCACTCACCATGTTTATGTAGCTTTATCAACTGATCATGATATTTTATTAATAGTGGTCTATGGCTTAAAGTGATATATGTGATCTTTTTTGATTTTAGCAAATCAAATAAATGATCTTCAACTTCCCTTGAAATCGCATTAGTGGATTCATCCAATATTATAAACTTTGGATTTTTGAATAAGATTCTTGCAAATCCTATACGCTGTTTTTCACCACCACTTAGTAAATCCTTCCATTCTTTAATAGCATTGAAATTATTGATATTATAATAATCATAATCATTCGGACCTCTATTGCTACTAACATCATCTGTTTTATTAGAGCTATCCGAATTATTCTCATAATTTCTCTTTAGTAAATAATCCAACTTTACTTCTTTTAAAATTGCAATTAAATCGTTATCGGTATATCCTAAATCCATCATTTCAAATTCATTTAGAGGATAAATTATTTGATCTCTTAACGTCCCATTGGTAAAATAAGGCCTTTGAGGTACATATAAGATATCATTGTCATTTGGTTTTGATAAAAGCCCTCTATATAAAGGCCATAACCCAGCAATTATTCTTTGGATTGAAGTCTTGCCTGAACCATTAAATCCAAGAATTAATAGGTTTTGATTGGGCTTAATTTGAAAAGATAACTTATTAATTAAGCAAACACCTTCTGAACCCTTTGGAGATGGAATAATAACTGATAATTTTTCGCATCTTAAACCGTTATAATCGTCTTGAATAGTGCCTTTAATATCATTTGAAAATCTATCACCATAATTAAAATTCATTTTATGAGCTTTGTGTAATAAAGTTAGCAAATCAAATATTCTATTCGTGTAGCCTGTTAGAGTTGAAATGTCTTTAATAGAGTACATTAAGCGACTACCAGCATCGGCTACTGATAACATCAATCTTTTATTGATGATGAACTGTCTCATATTTTTTGATTGATTTAGTTTGTACTCTTTAGGATTTTTATATTTATTAATTTTTTTATTATTGTTGGTGATTAAATCTTTAACTAGCGGGATTGAAGCAAACAAATAACCGGAGGCAGACCAAGAAAACTTGAGGATATAATTTTCTAAAAAGGTATAGCCAAGTTTTAAACGGTTATAGTTATCGATAAAAGTAACCAATTTGTTGAATATTTCAGTAATTTTTAGTTTTTCAATTTTGATTCCATTATAGAGGGAAATTTCTTCGCTGTTATTGATTAAATTCAAGTGGTAATTATAATACTCGCTTTCTAGATTTTGTCTTTCATTAACTAATTTAGCGAAATTTGGAGTATTTTTTCTCAAGATATAGGCAGTTATAACATAATTTAGGAATAAGCCAACAATACCAAAAGTCCCAAGATTATCTCTTAAATAAATGGCAAAGAAGACAATATCCATTATTGGTTTGCCTAAATTTGAAAATAAAGAGGCGATGGTATTGCAAAATTTTGTGATATCATTTGTAATAAATTGAGTAATGTCGTCAATATTTTGAACATTTGAGTTATAGATTTTCAGTTTTTGGATTGAAGAATTTTTTGGATTATTAATTGAGTTTGGATTATATTTTGAAATGTGTTCTGAGTTTGACTCATTTGATTGACCATTATGATTATTGATCAAGTAGATCAATTTATAAAAGACCATTTTATCGTCCAAGTAGATATCGTGAATGTAACGAATTAAATTGGTTCTAAAATTCAAAGCTAGGGATTTTGTCAAGTATTTGATGGAACTGTTGGTGTAAGAAGCAGGAAAAGCAATTAAAAACCAATATATCAAATCCATTAAAAAGCCTTTGAAATTTCCGGAAATGATATCCTTGACAATTTGGCCATCTAATTTGGTGATCAATAAAGAAAGATAAGTTCTAGAGATTAAGAAGAAAATTTTTAGAATTAAAAGATATGAGTTTTTGTTGAAAAAATTTGGAATTAGAATTTGCCAAATGATGGATATTTTATTTAAAATTTTTAAATTGATTAGAGATTTTGAGTCAATATTTTTCTCAATGTTTAAATTAAAATCTTTATGAAATTTTTTGATAATTAGAGCGATTTTCTCGATAAAATCATTATCGGTTGTTTTAATATAAATTTGTTTTATTATATTGTTATTTTTATCTTTTAGAAGTAGTTGAGTGATATTTTTTTTGTTGGTAGTAAAAGTGTTGACATTGGTTGAAATTTGATTTAAATTTGAATCGATTTTGGAATTATTGTGTAATTGAATAAATGAGTTTTTTGAATTAAAGCCAACAAAACTATATGTCTTTGATAGTAAGTTTCTATTGTATAAGTGGTTGTTGTTGATGAGATTGTTGTGATTAATGTTATTATTATTATTAATAAAGTACTCATTATTGTTTATGCTACTGCTTTTGCTATTTAAAAAGTTAATATGAGAATATCTGAGTTTATTCAAAAATTTTTTTAGAATAACAAAAGCAGCAAAAGAGAAGGTTGAAAAAACGGATAGAATAAAAAAAGTTATGATATGGTTATAAGAAATAAACTTTTTCTTCAAGTATGTCTCTTGGTTATAATATTGTAGTAGGTTTGATAAAAGACCATTTTTAAATAGCTTTGAGTTCAATAGCTTCGATTTTATCAACGATAAAGTCGAAAGGGAGACTTTATTCATATTCAGAGACAATTCAAAGTGATAGTGATGAGCAAGTGAAGGAAAATCAAACAGAGGCTGAAATGAGACCAATTAAATACCATGAGCAAGAGAAGAAGAAAAGAAAAGAAGTGACATCCCCAAGTCCAGTCGATAGATCATCGACTCCATCATCTATTGTTTCGGGAGCAAACTTCACATGAAGACAAAAAGAGTGTGGAGTAGAGCAATATGCGCCATGATGCGCAAAGCACACCCTCATGCATGCACAAGATGTGTCAAAGCCAGAGCCACCGATGTGGGTCGCTGCTACGCTGGCATGTGAAGACCAGCGAGTTTGAGGAGGGTCAACTGGGAGTAGTCGTAGAAGGAGAGGTTGGGCTTGGAGGGAGTGCTGTTGGAGAGGTGGTGGGAGCAGGACTTGACGAGCCTGGAGAGAATTATGTTAGACCTGTATTGGAGCACAAACTGGTGGACCTCGCTGATATGGTGGAACACCACTCGATATTCGTAAAGAGAGTCCGATGTTCGGTCGAGTGAATCGATCAGGCCGTAGTTCGAGAGCACAGAATGAAGGATTTCACTCACATTCTCTTTGCTATTGTGAGATAATTTGTTTGCAACAGAGGATTCAAGTGTGATAATTACTGTTTTTAATTGAGGATCGCTTCCCTTGTAGATACAGTGGTCATTGTCATTCTGCTTCTGCTGGCTGGAAAGTAAAGAAGTTTCCCTTTCAACTCTTTTCAAATACCCTTCTCTTTTAAGAATCTCAATTTTTCTTTTCTTGGGAATTTCACCATTGATATTTTTAAATAAATTCTCATTATTCAACAAGGTTTCTATTTTCTCTTTATTTTTCACAAAAATATATTTTTTTTCTTTTTCCAAATCAGATTTGTGCTTTAGATGTTGATCATACTTCAATTTTAAGTCGTTTTGGGTTAATATATTATAAGACTTCAAAATCAAATCAAATTTCTTCACTTTATCACTATCCTCAATTTTGGTGTTTCCTTCATTTTTATTGAATTTATCCGGATGATATATGAGGGCTTGTTTGTAGTAGGCTTTTTTCAAATCTTTAACAGAGATAGAAGCATAATCATCATTGTCAGCTTGTATTCCTAAAATATGGTACAAGTTGTCACTGGTATTCCCCATAAATTCACTCAATTTTTCAGCCATATTGATTCAGCTTAGCTGCAAATAAACCGAAAAAAAATCAAATCTGATTAAAGCCCTGAGACTGTATATGCTTATCTAATAACTAATAACACGTGATAAAAGTTTATTTGTAGTTACCGTACTGGTGGCCTCAAAGAACTCCATATAAATTGAGCAAAGTGGAGTTATAACAATATACAATTGAGTAGCGATTTAAATTGCCATGATACACTTGAGTTATATCCATTACCTGGCCACCATCGAACTTTCACAACATGAAGCACACCAAATAATTTTATGCTTAATTTGCTGAATAGAAATAACGACTTGTTCACCCACCATTGTTTTCGTTTTTTGTTCTTGATCTTGCTGCATACTCTATCGTTTTATCAAGACAATGATTCTTTAAACCAAGGTGAATAATAGATCCAGAAAAGTTCAAGGTGCTTAAAGCGAACATTTTCTATTAATAATTTGCTTATAAATGACTAATATCTGTAAGCAACGTCTATTCTTTTAAAATGATTCTGATTGAAATCACTAATAGCCAAATTAATAATGAATGGTTTATTGAACTTCAAAAAACCGTTGAATACAATATAGTTATCTTCCGTTAAAAGCATCTAATCTTTGTGATTATAGTTAGGAAAAGAAAAAATTAATTCAGTCTTCGCTTTGAATGTCAAAAAAAAGTTCTTAACATCGAAAAATCTCTGGTGATTTGCGTTTTTGTCTGCTCGAATGGTTTTGAAAAGCGAGAAATAAATTGATTACTTTGAAAAAAATGAACTTTGGTAGAACCATTTGGTTTTTTGATTCATGTTCATATCTATCTTTATCTATCAACTTTTTTTAGGAAAAACTGCAGATGAGCTTTTAGGAAAAACTGGCTTTACACTCCAGTCATTATAAACCACCAATCAAATACATAAACTACAGATTGATATAATGCACTGTGATTCGGAATTGCAATCACTACAGCCTCAGAAAAAATTACTATGCCGTCCTGCACTATATTATCAACTCAATCTAGACTGGTTTTGAAATTAACTCCTTTGAAATGGCTTCAGGACCTCAAGTTTAAGACTCTTTTATGATTTAAGATATCTTGATACAAATCTTGCTAGCAGTCAATTATTAAACAACTTTAAATCTTATACTGCATGCTTTGATAAGCTGGTTTTGTATTAAACTGTATGGTGCCATTGAAAAGGTTTTCAGTAGTTTACCTCAAGCTGATAGAAATATCACAGTAAATCAACTAATTCTAATACTGATGATGATAAAATAAATAATTCAATCAATTATCAAAAATATTATTATATTTTTGTCGACACAAAGGGCAGAAGTAACAGCTCAATATTAATATTTGAATTTTTGACAGACTTGCATTTATATTAGATTGAAGCAGATAATTTTCTTTTAGTAGACAATTCAAATCTAAATGGATGTTGATCAACCTGTTTTATAACGCTCTTCATGAGAATAACCATCAATATCTCAATATTGTGCTGGAAAGTCAATAATCTATTATCAACTTTTTCTCACGAGGTATATATAAATTTCCCGATGGAGACAAAAAATAATATCTCCTTATGTTTTGAATTGAAGGTGATTCACCGATTTTTTGATATTCCTTTGGAAGAGCTTTCAACCAGTCTCCATTATCGAATTAGCTTTGTCAATATTGTGATCCATTTTCATAGCATTCAATCTTTCTCATGTTCTCTGGACTCTCAGGCTTTTTCTCAGTTTTTTCGCTGTATTTCCTTCTCCAATAATCGAGCCTTGACCCCGAAATGTTCGTCAAGTTTTTGATTGTGGTGTTATGATTATTAGTCACATTGAGAACCTTGATCTTTGATATATCCTAAACCCAGATTTTTTAATGACTTCGAGTTACTAATATTCTCAATTTTCAAAATTTCATTGCTATCTAAATATAGAATTTCTAATTTCCTTAGATCTTCTAAATTTGTTATTCTGGAAATAAAATGCATTGATAAGCTTAACTTTATTAGGTTACTGATCTGATTGAGATCATTGGTTTTGCACTGTTCATCGGAAATTTGATATATATTAATTAATGAATCCATTATTAAAGATTTAACGAAATTCGAAAGATCTATTGTTTCTAATTTTTTCCAATTTCTCAAGTCTATATTTCGGTGATATTCACCACAGCAAAATTTCACAAATTTCAACCTGCTCCAATGACTTGACATTTTCAACTCTTGATCGTCTTTAGCATATATAATTAGCCTCTTTAAATTTGGAAAAGTCCCATCTAAGTTTAGTTTTGTTTTCAAATGTGTTTGTAAATCTAACGATATCAAGTTGGCCATTGTTGGAAATCATACAACTGCATTTGAAATTTCCAACTGCAACTTCATTGACTGTAGTATTGGTAATCTTTCCAAACACCTTATTGAATCAGCATTTTTGGTGAAAAAATGGAGGATTCGTAACCCTTCAGCCATACCAATATTACTGATATTCTCATTGGCACCTTTCCCAAAAATCAATTGATTTGATAAAGGAAACTGCTCTAATTTCTCAACATCGGATAGCCCATTATTAGATAAATTGAGTAATGGCTCTAAATTAGGAATGTTGTCGAATTGATTGTTTGACAAGTTCAAGTTAAGCAATTTGTACAGCTTAGGACTCTCCTCTAACCTGAATAGTAAATTTTTCGAAAGATCAAGAGAATTCAAGTTAATAAGAAGTGGTAGCTGTGTAATTAGTTGTGTGATTGATCCGATATTTAGACCAGACAAACATGGATGTTTCAAGTTCAATAGTATGGACCTGCCAAATTGTTTAGGGATATTAAAGTGTTGTAAATTGTACGTTGAGGAGGACCATATTGCTTTTGATTTAATTTTATCAAATTTGAAGAGTTTATAGTAATTATCTTTATATGGAAATACTTTTTTCATCAATGCAAGAGAAATTTCCCATTTGCTTCCATCAAATGGAAACAGCCAGTTATAATAGTTCATGGTGTCTGTAATATCAAACTCACCAATAGAGAACTTGTATATCGACTCAGCTATAAAAAGCACCAACACCATCATTTGCTGTAAACATTTAAATATCGTGGAAAGCCTGAATTTGTTTTCTTTCACTCCATTTGATACGAGAGTGGTATTCACAGTCAAGTGTTTGGTAAACCATCTCAAGTGATTTCTGAACAATAAAGCATCGTTGAATTGTAAAATCAAATGCATTTTTAACTGTGAGATCTTGGTCTTTCATGATTGACAAGTGCCTTGGTGTTAAACGTTCACCAATGATTTCAACTATCAAAAACAACAGAATAGGCGCTTGTTGCTAGAACTTGATTATTGGACAATATGAAAAGAAGCACTTTATCAATTGGTAAATCATTGAATATAGGCTGAACAATAAAAGTGGGCAAACCATCTAGTATATTGGGAGTCAATTGAATACTTTTGGTCCACAAGTTTGATAAATGCATATTTATAAGCCCTTTGACGGTTACTCTCAGTTAAAATATCTCACCACAATCTCTAGTCAATGAGTTAACCCTCTATTTATATCAACGATCTTGGAGAGTTCATTATTGCTATATAGATAAAAAACAATATGGCCGCAATGTGCTGCATTACTAGCGCAACTAGTCTGAACATGCATGCAAATGCATATTCTGTTCCAATCACGGTTTCCAATTATATTCCAAACAACTCCCCAAACCTTAAACCTCCCCCGCTTGATAGTGGGATATCGCTGGTCCTCAAATTCACCGTTAGTAAAACTCTGTATATGTTTTGTAAAGCTGGAAGAATGTTTGTTGTGTTTGCAAAAGGATTAGGGATAACACTCTGCTAAATTATGGACAAATCTGATGAAAAATCTAAAGCCTAAAAGTCAGGTTATCCAACCGGTTCATTTCATTTTTGCTGGATGGAATAGTTGATGGCATCAAAAAATTAGTTTTAAAAATCGTAAATTTACGGTGTTTATATAGGTTTTTACAGTATAGACTGTCTGGTGCATCAACAAATACAGCTTTATGGTTAAGGAATATATGGCATTTGTATTTGTGTCTGTAGAAATAAGGCCTGCAATGATTCGTTAAACGAATCAAATCGAATTTCTATGCCATTTATTTGTTACAATCTAAGGTCCAAACCTTATATAAGCACTGATAATCTGTAACCGTCCTAATAGAACAACAAACAGCTCTTCCAACCAATGAGGTTTGATTCCATTTTTTTTTTCTTGAAGCATTATCAAGAGAAAGTAGATCCATTTTTATGGTTTTCAGGAAAAATGGTAGTGCATCTCAGCGCAGTGGGGTACAGAAAGTACTTTCTTGCTTTTTGGTTTTTACTAGTGGTGGACAAGAAAAAGTGCCCATTCCAGCTCGATTTGAGGACAAGAAAAATACTCTTTTCCAAATCGAGCTTAATTGAAAAATAATTGAAAAACAGTCACGTGGTGCGTATAATTGAATGGGAAATTAATTCGATTTGCTTTACGAAAACAGTGCCAATGCAAAACAATTGGTAAAATTTTATATATAGCCCACAATATTAAAAATGGATATTTATAACGTTAATCATGTTGTGAAGCAGCCGGATCTCTAGATTCGGTTTCTACCTATCCCTCGGTATTTATTGTTGGTCTGCTTTCGTTACGCTTTGGGATGTAACCCAGTCCCTATAAAAGGGGCTGAAGTTCTCTTTTACGTTCTTTCTTTCTATATACTTTACCTTAATATATAATCATGAATTCGCTACAACAAAACAGAACAAAACATCAGTAAAAAAAGATTAAAAATAGTAAACCGTTACCCGCCTCGCCAGAGATTACAAAATTCCATCAATCATCGATTACATTCCCCTTTAGTATCACAACATTTTTTCTTGTGCATGAGGGGTATTTTTCTTGTCCTCAAATCGAGCTACTTTTTCTTGTCCACTAGTAGTGTTGATTTGGAAATCTGAAAGGTGTTTATTTTCTATTTTAATTTTACGTAACACTATTATATGTAATTACCTTAGCAAAGAGAGTTTTTACTCAATTTGTCGGTGCTCCTTGATATAACTCTCAGCGGCCCACTTCAAATCCAAGTTTGGATACAAGTCTTCAATGCGCAAGGGTTTTCTTGTTAGTGGATCCATTGAGTTGCGATGAAGATATTTGTACAACCAAGATTTTTCATAGGACTTGCCAGAGGGTGTGATAACAGGATCACTAAATATGTTGAAGCTTATGGGATCGACCAAGTACTCTGGAATCTCGTCTTTAATCACATCTAGCTTTACATCCGAGTTCCTATCCAAATCATTGTGGCTGTAAAACGGAAGTTTTAAGTTGTTTTCAATTAAATACTTTTGTCTCATCTTTGGATCCTGTAGAATTTTATCAAAATTTGTTTTGAATAAAGTTTGTAGCCGTTGGGTTTCTTGATGAAAATTGTCCGTTAAGTTTTGAATATCAATTTGATAATCAATATTCCGTGATAATTTTGTAGTAAGAGAATTTTGATGAGAATGGCTATTAGTGGAAATGCCATAACTACTAAATTTCAGTTCAATTTTTGAGCAGTATTTTTTAGAAACTTTTTCAATGTTTGAATTAAATTCATTTAATAATAAATTATACAAATGTTCATATAGTGGAAATAATTTTCTGAAAAAATTCCAATAATCTAAAAAACTAATTTTCACTCTTAGTTTTATGATATACTCATAAATTTGTATGACTGAGGGGGAATTGATCTTAAATGCCAATTCATACGCTCTTATCATTTTTTTATATGATTGTTCGTATCTATTCATTTTAAACAACACTAGTCCATAGTAATAATTTGCTTTATAATTTGAGCCATCAATTTCAACAGCTTTTCGACAATCGTTTAAAATGTCATTCAATAACGACTGATTTGATATCAAAACATTATTAACAATAAAAGTATGTTCTTCAGGAATGGAAAATTCTTGTGGTAATATTTCACCTGATAGTTTGGTATCGTCTGGATATAACTTTTCATACAACTTGAATCTTGCATTTGCCCTATTAGTGAAGTAATTAATCTTGCTAGGATCATGCTGAATAGCCATTGAATAATACTTTATGGAATTTCCATAATCACCTTCTTTAAAATATTCATTGCCTCTCTAATGAGTAATTTCCAATTAGTAACATCTCTATCAAACAAAATACAAAAGAAAAACGCCAGTCTAAGTGCTCACATACTTCTTTCAAGCTCTCTGCACTCATTTCAACAATAGAATTCCTATCTTGCTATAGTTCTTTCCTTTGTTCTTGTTTTGCTTGGACTCTTTACCAGTTCCAGGCGATGCCCCAAACCATACTCAAGAAAACAGTTCTTATATTTTCTCTCCTTTTAGGCAAGATCCTTTATGGTGGTAGTTGCATATATCCACATTTAAATGCGTAGTGAGTCATGGAAATTTTGGTGGAAAAAAAGAAAAAGCATCAAAAGAATCAAAAGAATCAAAATGTAGCAAAAAAACCACCTGGTTTTGAGGATATTATTCGACTATTTTATTTCATTTTAGCAACATGGTAGTTTTACTGTCTAAGACAGTTCATATTATTGACGTCAAAAGTGGAAATCTCAAATCTTTGCAAAATGCTATCGAACATCTAGGCTATAAAGCCATTTTCATCGAAGATGGTAATAATCCTGAATTGTTGAAAGCAGAAAAATTGATCTTGCCTGGTGTAGGAAACTACGATTACTTTGTCGAAAAGTTATTTCAAAAAAATTTTGAGAAACCCTTGAAAGATTATATCAACTCAAAGAAGCCTATTTTTGGTATTTGTGTGGGTTTACAAGCTTTATTTAATACCAGTGAAGAAAGTTTCAACTCCAAAAAGGGTTTAGGTTTAATTGACATAAATGTATCAAAGTTTAAAGATGCCACTAAATCTGTTCCACAAATTGGCTGGAATAAATTACGCCTTCTGTTTTCCCTCAATGCTTCATTGCCATCCAGCTATGATAGTGCTGAGGTAGAACTATATGGTTTAAATCCAAACTACCATTACTATTTTGTCCACTCATATGCTGCTATAATAAATGACCAAATAAAGCAAAATTTATTAAATGAGGGCTGGAATTTGGGTATTACTACCTACGGGGATCAGCAATTTATTTCGGCTATCAATAAAGATAATCTTTTTGCTACTCAATTTCATCCTGAAAAATCGGGTAAAGCTGGTCTCAAAATGATCAAGCACTTTTTATCAGGCAAAAAATATACTTCGATTCCAAGATCAAATTTTAATTCTAATAATAAAAATTTAAAAAATTTCAATGGATTGACATGCAGAATTATTGCCTGCCTTGATGTTAGAAGTAACGATCAAGGAGATTTAGTTGTTACAAAAGGTGATCAATATGATGTTAGAGAAAAAGATGACAATGGAAATAATGTCAGAAATCTTGGAAAACCAGTGGCTTTAGCTGAAAAATATTATAAACAAGGTGCTGATGAAATTACTTTCTTAAACATTACATCTTTCAGAAATTCTCCCTTGAGAGATCAACCAATGTTAAATGTCTTAAGAGAGGCTTCAAAAACCTGTTTTGTTCCCTTGACGATTGGTGGTGGCATAAGGGATTACAAAGAGCCCAATGGCACTATAATCTCATCTTTAAAAGTTGCTGAATTATATTTCCTAAACGGTGCTGATAAAGTTAGTATAGGTTCAGATGCAGTCACTGTTGCTGAAAACTATTTTAAAAATGGTTCTCAAGGTTCAGGAAATTCGCCCATTGAGCTTATATCAAAGCAATTTGGTGTTCAAGCAGTTGTTATTTCTGTTGATCCAAAAAAAAGATATGTAAATTCACCAGATGCTACTTTAAATAAAGTTATCAAAACCAAATTTCCAGGTCCAAATGGTGAAAATTACTGTTGGTACCAGTGTACAACTAAAGGTGGAAGAGAATATAGTAATATTGGAGCATATGAGTTAACCACAGCATGTGAAGCATTAGGAGCTGGAGAAATTTTATTAAATTGTATTGACAAAGATGGCTCTAATTCAGGTTTTGATTTAGAATTGGTTGACCATATAAAGAAATCAGTATCAATACCTGTTATTTCATCTAGTGGTGCTGGAAACCCGCAACACTTCAGAGAAGTGTTTGAAGAAACTTCTGTTGATGCAGCATTAGGTGCAGGTATTTTCCATAGAGAAGAGTATACTGTTGGCCAAGTAAAAGAGTATTTACTTGAGCATGGTTTTGAAGTTCGATTTGACAATGGAATAGAAATTTAACATTTCTCAAATTCTTTATCTTTTCCCTTTAGAATTTTTTTTTTGTTTGAGAATGCAGTTAGAATTGATTATAATTGAATATATTCTGAATAAAATTAATATCAAAATTTTTTGATGTATTATTTATTTAATTTCCATGAAATATTTTTTAGTTTTATTGACTATTTGTAATTTACTATATAAAGTAGTTGTAAAAACGTTTATATAATTTAGTGAAGGTTCTCAATTGGGTATTATTTTGAAAAGTATTAAGTCCAATAAAAGCAATCTTAAAAGAGGGTGAGTTGATTGAATTACTTTATTCACTTTTTTTTTCTTTCAAATGAGTGATAATGCCAAGATTACAAAAACCAACAACTAACAGGAATAAAATAACAAAATATTAATATAAGTGCAAGTCAAGTGCTCATAAATATTAATAAATGCTACACAAGTTTAAACTTTTGTTAAAAGCTATAAAATATCAAAGATAAACAAAAATCTATAATACACGATATGCGTTTTTAATATGAATATAATTGAATTGTTGATCAATTTTTGATTTTATTTCCATTTTGAGATATTTTTCTATCAGAATGAGTTGAATTATTAGAATCGGTGAGGAAATCTTTTTGAGGAATTAATTTAATGATGCTTGAATACAAGTCATTGGCAACTTCAGCATTTGAAACTTTTATGGCGTATTGAACGAATTTTTCAGTAGTCTGATTATCATTGTTTAAGGAAGTTTCGATATTATTAAACCTTATAAATTTTTCTCCATTTAAAGAACTTTCCATACCTTTAAAAATTTTGAAATCATGTATAATTTTACAGTTTAGAATTAGTTTCAATATACCTGCAGATCTCATGATTATTCTTGAGTTTGAATTCTTCAAATTTTTTTTAATAGATAGTGAGCCGGTACCTCTTTCAGACCAACTTTTTGCAAAATTAGTCAAATCCAATACATATAATTTTGCTTTACATTGAAATACATTGATTTCATCTTCTTCACCGGATTTTATGATTTTTTTTTCTAGTTTAATAATTTTGGTATTATTACTATTAATGTTGGATGGATCAGTTTTGCTGTTTTTAGTATCATTGGTGTTATCATTTTCATTTTCATTTTTATTATCTATATCTTTATCTTTATCTTTATTTTTATTATCCTTATCAGTAGAATTTTCATCGGATTTAGTGTTGTTGTTTTGAGTATCATCATCGTTATTATTATTAGCATTAATTTTATTTTCATCAAATGGAGACTTGGACGTTGAAGGCAAAGTATCAAAAATGGATTTCTTTTTTATTGCATTTTGTAAGGCATTTGAAAACTTTGAATTTGAACCAAAAGGAGAGGGGTTTGTATTTTTTGATAAATGAGAAAATGATAAATCGGAAGAGTTCGAAGAAGAGTTTGAAGAAACAGAATTTGGCTGTCTTGAAAAAGCTGAAGTAGAAAAGGGATTATTACTGGTTGGTTTCTCATTGTTGATGAATGGATTATCGATGGTATTATTGTTACTATTATTAGAAATAGTGGTGTTAGCGGTGTTATTGCTGGCATTATTGGATATATCAAAGACATTTTTCTTATTTTTCAACGAGGAAAAAGCAGGAGCACCAAAACGAGAAGATGCACCAAACACAAAAGGCTTCTTATTGGTTGTGTTGTTTTGGGGCACAGTGGGAATGTTGGCATTTGACTTATCGTCTCCAGCAGCTGAAATGGAAGATTTTGAGTCGTCTGGAGTGTCGTTTGATATTTTGAGTTTTTTCAAGGGAGGAGTTGGATTGTTGTCTTCTTCATTGGCGGTGGCAATTTTCTGGTTAAAGCCATCCAGATCAGAGGAAGAAGCTGTACCTGTTGTAGCAGCAAGTTGTGGGTTTTCAAGGGGCTGTTTCTGGAGAAGGGCAACATCATCGGTGTGATTTGCTGGCAATTGGGCAGTACTAGTGCCAGCAGAAGACAGCAGATAGACCCCAGCATCGATACCAAGCACATTTGATGGTTGGTCCAGGCTCAATTGTTCTCTTGTCCTTTTTCGCTCCAACGTCTCGCTCTCAACCTCAATTTCGCTGGAATCGTGTTTCTCATCCACTATGGGCTCAGCGATCGGGCTGTGTGTATGGGAGTCAGTCATTGTGTTGCAGTGTACTATGGCTCTGTCTAGTCGTGTGTTCTGCTCTGGTTTTCTGTGAGTCTGCTGTCGATTGCAACAATGTGGGCTTGTTTCTTCAGCTTCACTTGCTTTTGGGCCATTAATTCGTTTCCTCCAAATGCCTTGGTCTTGAAGAGATAAAAAACCAGACATGTAAAAGTCACGCCATACCGTCGTGCTTTTCATTACATAATCATTCAAAGTTGGCACGTGAGACTACGTAAGGTTGCACCTGATCTGACGTGCAATTTGCATGTGACACAACCAAATTGTTGAATCTTCGAAAGCCAATAGCACCATATCACGTGATTAAGGTGTTGCTTTTGATTGGCTGGTGTCGCTATCAGCACACTTCACGTGCCGCTGTGACTGGTTTGCGCAAGCATGTGAAAACGCAGTTTTGATCCGGAAAGCATCCGCGGCCAACACAGCACGAGATTGCGTTTGGATATCACGCGGAGTATGAAAATTTTTCCAACGATTTGGGAAAAGCTGCGTTTTCGGTCGTTTATCGCACTGGTTTTATTGAAATTAAAATTTTTTTGGGAGCTTTTTTCATATCGCATTTTTCAGATCCCATGTATATATTTATCTTTTGTTTTCCTGCACTTTTTTCTCTTCCTGGTTCAATTGTTCTATCGCACCTTCTTTGGGTTATTCACCTCTACTTCTGCTTTTTCTAGGTTTCTTATTCCAAGTTTAACTTCTCATCTCTTCTGTAATCTGAAACAATGACTCAACCTGAATATCAAGACAATGACACCTTTTTTTTCACCTCTGAATCTGTTGGTGAAGGTCATCCTGATAAAATTTGCGATCAAGTTTCCGATGCCATTTTAGATGCCTGTTTAACTGAAGATCCCTTGTCAAAAGTTGCTTGTGAAACTGCTGCTAAGACTGGTTTAATCATGGTCTTTGGGGAAATCACCACCAAGGCCAACTTGGACTACCAAAAGATCATTCGTAACACCATCAAACACATTGGTTACGACTCATCCGAAAAGGGTTTTGACTATAAAACTTGTAATGTCTTGGTAGCAATTGAACAACAATCTCCAGATATTGCCCAAGGTTTGAACTTGGAAGACTCCTTAGAAAACTTGGGTGCCGGTGATCAAGGTATAATGTTTGGTTACGCTACAAATGAAACTCCTGAATATTTACCTCTAACTATTCTTTTGGCTCACAAATTGAATGCTGCTCTTGCCACCGCCAGGAGAAACAAAACTTTATCTTGGTTAAGGCCAGACACCAAGACCCAGGTCACCGTCGAATATAAAAATGTTAATGGTGAGGTTATCCCATTAAGAGTTGACACCATTGTTATCTCCACTCAACATGCTGATTCAATCTCCACCGAAGACTTGAGATCTCAAATTAAAGAAAAAGTCATCTCCAGTGTTATTCCAAAAGATTTGTTAGATTCAAACACTAAATACTACATTCAACCTTCTGGTAGATTTGTCATTGGTGGCCCTCAAGGTGACGCCGGTTTAACTGGTAGAAAAATCATCGTCGATACCTATGGTGGTTGGGGTGCTCATGGTGGTGGTGCCTTCTCTGGTAAAGATTTCTCTAAAGTCGACAGATCTGCTGCTTACGCTGCCAGATGGGTAGCAAAATCCTTAGTTCACGCCAATTTGTGTAAGAGAGTCTTGGTTCAATTCTCCTATGCTATCGGTGTTGCTGAACCTTTATCCATTAATGTCGATACTTATGGTACTTCATCTTACTCTCCACAAGAATTAGTCAAAATCATCAGAAAAAACTTCGACTTGAGACCTGGTGTTATTGTTAAATCTCTCAATTTAGCCAAACCAATTTACTTCAAAACTGCTTCCTATGGTCATTTCACCAATCAAGAAAACTCTTGGGAAATTCCAAAAGTTTTAGAATTATAGTTTTAAATCAAATTATAAAATTCATTTAAAATATTCAACTATCAATTTTATTTAATTCTTATTCATGCATGATTAAACTCCTCTTCATTTTTATATCGTTTTTTATTATTTTATATTTTAAATGTCCTTTTAGACTGTTGTTTTTATTAAATTTTTCTATCTCTTTTTTTAAAGAATCTCAATCCAAAAACAAAAGAAAAATTTCTAATTTCAAATGAAACTCAAAATTAATTCAAATCAAATGGGGTGCTAATTCAAGATACAAAAACTTTTTTTATTTTTCAATTTCACAATCTTGTTATAATGATTTTTTTATCCTTATTTAAATTGTTTAAATATTTATATAATTCTTTTCTGGTTCATTTATGTATTATCTTATTAATATTCAACTATTAATGCACAATTTTAATTAATCTTAATTGTTATATCTATCTTCTTTGTAATAACTTCATTTTATTAACTATTTATTACTACTTAATAGTATTTAATCCTATTTAATATGTAATTAGTATTTATTAATACATACTTGTTTCGGTATCAGATCACTCAAAAGTCAAACTTAATTATTGTTTATTACTATTCAAGACAAAAATAACTAAAAAAACAACAGCCAACTTTCTCATTTTTCCTTTCATTTTCATACCTAAATACTGAATACATAACTTCCCAATTTTTAATTGAATACATTTCAATATTGGTTTGTTTGTTTGTTTGTTTTTTTCGTTTTTTTGTTTTAAAAAAAATTGTTTTTTAATGACGTTTTTTTTAAAAAAATTTTTGTGTATTTTTAGTGTTTTTTTCGAATTTTTTTGAAAATTATTTTTAATTTTTTTTTGTTTTTAATTCATGTTTTTATTATTTTTGAATTATTTTTGAATTATTTTTGTATTGAATTTCCTTTTGATTATTCCACTTATTTTTTACCCTGAAATAAATGACTTAAAATAGCACTTGAATTACTTTGAGCTTGAGGGGGTGGAATAACTGCTGGAAGCGAATTTTCAAATGAATTATTATTACCGATATTGAAATTGCTACCTACAATTAAACCTGGAGGTGGTGGGGTATTTGCAGCAGCTCTATCGTTTAACCTAACCATATTGATTTGTTGATGACTTGGTGTTAAATTAATATTTTGTTGTTGTTGTTGCTGTTGTTGTTGTAAAATTTGTTGTTGACGAGCTTGAAATTGTAATTGTAATTCTTGTTGTGATTGGTAGTCTTGTTGAAATTGTTGGGGGTCTTGTTGAAGAATTTGTTGTTGTAATTGTTGTTGTTGTTGTTGTTGTTGTTGTTGTTGATGTTGTTGTTGTTGATGTTGTTGTTGTTGTTGATGTTGTTGTTGTTGTTGATGTTGTTGTTGTTGATGTTGTTGTTGCTGTTGTTGTTGTTGTTGTTGTTGTTGTTGAGGAACTGACTGTAATAAATTGTTGTTGTTAGTATTGGAGAAACTATAGCTTTTAATAGGAGGTCTGGAAATTAAATAATCTACTAGAGAAACAAATTGAAGAGATTTTGGAGTCGATGGTGTAGACGATGGTGTAGAAGGTGCTGATTCGTTTGCTTCATCATCTTTAATCAATTGGCTTTCATCGGGAAATGCAAATAATGGAGGCATGTTGGAAATTGTTTTGTCTTTTAGTAATTCATTATTAATATGATAGTGAATATTGTTAAATTCAGAGTTGAGAAAATTTATTGTTTGTTGAATGAATTTATTAGCACAATTTTCACTTAATATCAAATCGTCAATATTATTTAAATAGTCATTATCTTTTGAACCAAGTGATGATTCTGAAGCTTTATTAGAGCTGTTATTAGAAATTGTATTATTATTATTACCAAGGCTATTGTTGTTATTTGAGTTATTATCCACATTATTATTGCTATTTGTATTATTAATAGTATTACCATTACTATTAATACTGCTACTGCTACCATTACCATTATTAGTAACGTTACTATTATTGATATTATTAATGTTATTATTATTAATACTAATATTGTTAGTACTCTTATTGCTTTTATTTCTATCTTTTCTCTTCTCTTTTTGTGGGTGATGATTATTGTTATTTAATTTCAAAACAATTGTTTCAGCCAAGGAAGGAAAAGCAGCTGAATTTGCAATTGGAGTCGAGACTGTAGTTGAGGCAGTTGATAAAGGAACGGTTGATTTTCCCCAGGCAGCAGTAACAGGCAAAGCAGGGGTATCCAATTTTGGAGAATGTACCTCATCATGGTGATCGAGGTTATTTGAAGTAGAGGTTGAATCATTATTTGAGATTGAGAGAGATGTATTTTGAAGATGGGGAGTTATTGGAGAATGATAAATATTTATATTACGAGGATTTGAATCACTGTTACGTCTTGATGTAAAACGACTTGCATTTGAAGAGGTGTTGCCATTTGAAGCCGAAATACCATTGATTTGACTCATGTTGTTGAGACTTGAGCCAATTGAAGTGGAAGGATTGGAAGCATTGTTACCAAGGCTGATGGAATTGGGTAGGTTGGAGCTGTTGCTGATGTTGTTGTTATGGTGTTGGTCTAGTTTTTTAATTTGTCTTGTCGATAATTGGGATCTCGAAAACGATTCAGCTTGTTCACCAGGCTCATGTAAGAACATACAACTTGGATTTGGACAGGGAACATTTCTCAAGTAGGATGAACAGTACTTTGTTGTACCATAGGAAGCTCTTAATTGTCTACCATTGTCAATTGAACCATCGATTGCATTGATACAACGGGTGGCATCTTCTTTCCTGACAAAGGTAACATAGACACCAAAGCCACTGTTGATATTCTGGTTGGTACTCTGGCTGCTGTTGGAGCTGCCAGAACTTGTGTTGGTGTTGCTGTTTCGTTTATTTATAACTATTTTCAAGATTTTTCCATATTTGCCAAAATATCTATCTGATCTTAAAGCAGCATGGAGTTCATCGGGGGGGACATCGGGATTAAGGCCAACTACATAGACCAAGTTTTTTTGAATTACTCTCATTCCAGCTAGATGTTTTCTCGAAGCTTGTTCCTGTTCTTTTCTTTCCTTTTCCTTTTGTTTTTTCTCTTGATCCCTTCTAGCTTGTCTTAGTCTTTCTTGGTTCATTTCTTCTGGGGAAAGGGTTAGTTGCTCGATGTTTTCCTCATTATAAACCCTGCGACAAGCAGGACATCTGTGCAACAATTCGATATCATTTATGATGTTGTTGTAACAGAATCTACAGATTTGATAGCCACATGGACATGGCTTGAATTTCTTATCAGATAAGTCCATTTCTTCAACACAGATGGGACAAAGGTCTTCTTCATCTTCGTCCAAGAAGTAATCTATGTCGTTATTGAGGTTGTTGTTGAGATTAGATAGACTGTTTAAGGCAATACTGTTGTTGGTAATCATGATTTGTCAAGTGTTGTGTGAGTAAGAGTGGTGGGGAGTAAGTAGAGTTGTGGAAGCAATAAAGTAGTAGAGTAGTAGAGATATCAGGGGATATTGTGGCCAAGTGGTAAAGCAGTAAGCCAGTGGTGCTCTTGTACGTTGTGAGTTTTGCTGTTGATCAAAAAGGTAAGAATAAAACTGGTGTATATCGCAGCTGTGTGAATATTCAATCTATTAATTGTCAGATAATTATAAGTTGCATTATTAATGGTTATCAAAAGAACTTCAAAATCCCTGCAAATTTGTCCGTAATATCCGGTGCTTCCGCGTGTTTTTATTCTCATTTCCACACACGGATGCGTCTACTGCGGTTTGTAACCACTGTGCATATTTCCGTTTCCGCATTATACCATGAATTTCCGCGACTTTTCCGTGATGATCCGTTCCTGCTCCAGAACGAAAAATGGACTGGGAAACTTTTGTCTTCTTTCTGATCTTCTTTTGCTGTTTTTGCTGTTTCTGCTGCAGCTTTTTTTGATTTTGCTGCTGTTTTGCTGCCTTCTTATGGCTGTCTCGACATGTCCAAGATCCCCATATATCTCAGATTGAAACCGTATTTGGGCTCTGATAATCCACGCCATTTAAATCGTCATATCCAAGTGGTTGAGAATAACAAAAAGGAAAATAAAACCATTAGAATCAACAACTTAACCACTAATGACGAACCAATTGAATTCGAATTCGACGAGATTTTTACAGAAAATGATTCTACCAGTGTCATTTTTGACAAAATATTCGATACTCCCACTTTAAAACTGGTTTCAAATCCAATCAGTGATTTAAGTTCCTTTGATTCTAGCACAATCATGAAAAATTTATTCAAAGATTCAAAAGATTTTATAATTTTCAATATAGGTCCTTCAAATAGTGGAAAGTCATTTACAATCATAGGTAATGATGATGATCCAGGTCTAATTTTCAAAAATTTATGGAATATTTTATCAATCATACTCTCTTATCAATCTCAATCCACCAATTCTAATGTTCTATTTAATAATTTGAAAACAAAATTCAATGACAATTTGTTTATATCATCAAGAGATAATATTCTAAACAATATCATTATTAATAACAATGAAAAAAATATCAATAATATCACTGATTTTGATTTCAACACTAACAATAATAATCCCAATAACAATAAATTACAATCACAATATGGTATATCTCTCAATATTTTTGAACTTTATAATGACAATATAATTGATCTATTGGAACTAAATGATGATCTTAAATCTCTTAAATCATCATCTTCTCCAATTAAAAAAAATAAAAATTTCATATCTATTGATAAAAAAGATAATAAACTAAAACCTTTCAATTTAATAACAATCTTTCTAGAAAACAATCCCAATACCATCAATTACAATGATTTATTTAACAATGATTACCAATCATATAAATCCTTAATTTTTAAAGCTCTAAGTTCAAGGCAAATTAAAAAAACTAATTTAAACTCAAACTCAAGTAGAAGTCACACCTTCTTTAGTATTAACCTACATTGCTATGAACCTGCATCAAATCATTTAAAAACAACAAAACTAACAATAGCAGATCTAGCAGGCTTTGAAAGATCTTCAATGGCTAAAACTTTTGGTAAATCAACTTTTCAAGAAGGTAACTTTACTAATCAATCATTATCCGATTTATCAAGGGTAATCTTATCCATCAATAACAACAATAACAATAACAGCAATTACAAAATAAATACAAACTTGCTAAACAAGGCAATTTTAAGATCAAATAAATTAACAAGATTATTATTATCAGATGTAATTGAAACCAATAATATTGCAATTATTGCCAATTTAGATCCATTTGGAGATTTGAATACAATCCTATCAACAATTCGCTTTTTAAAACCAATGCCTAAATTATCTTCCAAAAAATTAATATCCCCAAAAAAACTATTTCCAAGTTTTACTTCAAGCTCTAGTAATAATAAAAATAATACCAATAATAATACCAATAATAATACCAATAATGAAATTAATAATAATTTTGCCTCTCCCATTTTAATTGAGCAAATTAATACTCTTAAAAAGAAATTAGAAGCTTTACAAAACAGTATTCCCGAATTAGAATTCAAAATCAGGCAAGAAGTTTCCATTGAATCAGAAAATTTAATTAGAAGAATTCTTGAAAAGAATCAATCATCAAAAAAACAAATCCTAAATGATAATGAAAACTTTACTGATATTAAACTAGATTTATTGTCAATTGACTACAACTCAAAAATCAAAAATTTACAATTGGACAATCTAGATCTATTGAAGGAAAATTCAAAAATTAAACTCAATTTCGACAAATTAAGCAAAAAATATGATAATCTTTTAGCTGAAAATAAAACATTGAAATTGTCCATAATAAAATCAAAACAGCCTAATAACTCTTCTTCAATATCTGATAACCATTTACTAATCCAAAATTCCTCAAATACAAGTAAAATCAGTGATATTATTGATGAATATCAAGGTATTTCAACCAATAGTAGACTTGATATTCAAGCTAAAGGCACTTTTATGACTTCAGTAAATTTAGACAATTCATCGATTTTTGTACCACCAACTCCATCTCCATCAAAGATTAACAATAAAATATATCAAAATACTAATCAAAGTATCAATCAAAGTATCAATCAAAGTATTGATCAAAATAAGCTATTTAACTATAATTTGAACAATTCCAGCAATAAATTTAATTATTCACTCGGAAAAAATGATATTTTTGCTTCAACTTCTATTGACATTAATGTTGATCAAATTGAAAATAAAAATAATGTTAATAGTAGAATTGAAAGCAGTCTAATTCATAAATTTCACAATAATAATGCTTTTGCAAGCCAAAGCGAAGTTTCAAATCAATCAATACGCGAAACAATGTCTCAAGATGTATCAATCGAAAATAGAAAAAAGCTAGATTACAGAAATGGTAATCTTTTTTCCAGTGATGATGCTAATATAAAAAATATTAGAAGTGAATTAAGAATTGAATTTGAAACACCTATAAAGAAAGAAACTTACAGTAAAATATTAAGCATGACTGGCGATGAAAATGAAGATTTAAGCAACTATTCTCAACACGATATATCAAATCATGTCTCCAAAGAAAATGATATCGATATGGAAAGAAAAGAGGAGGAAAGTTATAATTTTAAGAAAGAAGAAGAAAATGGTGATAAGACAGAAGACAGTCATAGTAACAAAAAAAGAAAGAAGCGTGTTTTTGATGGGATTGAGATTGATAGTAGTTTTGAAAATGAAGATGTTGATAATAAATTGAAGTTAAGACATGAGAAAAGCCATAAAAAGGAAAATAAAAGAAAAGAAGAATATTCACTGGAAAGTGAAGATTTTCATTATGAGGGTTCGTCTGATGGAGATTCTAAGAAACTAGATTTCAATAAGGCAAGTTTTGATCTTTCAAGAAAAGTCAGAGCATCAAGAAAAGCTAAAGAAATAGCAAAAAGTAAAATTCAGCTTGAAAATGAAACTAGTGAAAGCGAGAGTGAGAGTGAGGGTGAAAGTGAAAGTGAAAGTGAAAGTGAAAGTGAAAGTGAAAGTGAAAGTGAAAGTGAGTCTAGTGATCAGGAAAATGAAAAAAGTAAAGAAAATAAAATTTTGAGATATGACAGTGATATAGAGTTTGAAGAAGACGAAGACGAAGATGAAGGTGAAGATGAGGATGACAATAATAATAATGATAACTTGAAGAAAAAACATGAAATAAATGAAAAGGGTAGAAATGAAAATTCAAACAAAAATGAAAATAAAGATAAAAATAATTCTGAAAATAACCACACTAATGTAGGCAATGATAGCATGAGTAAAAATGATGGGGTTATTGATAAAAAAAAAGAAGAAAAGAGAAAATTAGAAAATGGGAAAAAAAAGATTAATAAGAGAAGATTTGATGATAGTGATGATGACTATGTAGCAAGTGAAGGATCATTGGAAGAATTTGAGGAAGATGATAATGATATTGATACAAAACCTCGAAAAGGTAAAAAAATATCCAATTCACTGCCGAAGAAATCAAACAGTATAAAAAAAACTAAACTACCCACATCAATTGGATTAAAAAAGAATATTTATACCGACTTTTATGAAGAAGTTCCGATATTAATGCCATCTAAACTGTTTAATATTGATGGGATATTAGATTTGAATAATAGTAGCTTGATTTCCAATCCTTCAGACAAAAAAGTGAATAGGATTACAATGGATAAAGATGGAAATTTTCAGTTCAAATTTAGCGATGTATTAGAGAATAAGGTCAATAGTAAAGAAAAAGAAATTATTGTGAGCAATAAGGAAAATATTAAGGAAAATATTAAGGAAATTATCAATGCTGGAGTGAATAAAAAACCAGGTGGAATCAAAAAAATTAAGAAAAAAAAGATTTTGAAACCAAGAAAAATATTTTCGGAAAATGGGGATAATTCATTTTCATTCAATTGAATAATAATCATGTTCTAATACATTACAAACACTGTTTTATACTATTTTTTTTTTCAATTTTATTCATTTCGTTTTGTTGTGTTTTGTGTTTTGTTGTGTCTTGAAATTTTTATATGATTTTATTGTATTTTTTCAGATAATTCAGACTATCTTTTGTGATAAACGTTTAAATTTTTCGTTAGGTTAATTGTTTTAATATAAATTTTTTTATTATAGATTATAAGAAAAATATTATAAAAAAAGCAGGATAGAAAATGACTATAATTTGTGTAATAATAATAGTGGAAACAGTGTTGGGTGGTAGAAAATAACAAGATGTGCTATTATACCAGTCTTCTATCACTCATGTAACGCAAAATCGGACCTAAACCAGTAATCTCAATTGTTTTCTCAAACCAAGCTAGAAGAATGCCTGAATGGATCTGGCTTTGGGACTGGCTCATTGCCTTGTAGAGGTACTTGACCAATATATCCTGCTGGTCGATATCGAGAGCTTGAACTATGTTTGACATCTGGGCCTGTTTCACCGAGGTGAGGACCTCAAGGACTAGGGATAGGTTGAAAAGCCTGGTGTCCTCAATATCAGAGTGGTATGGAGGATTGGTGAGTGCCAACCTCAAAGAATCAGAGTAGTTGCCCTTGGAGAGCAAGGCCTTGACCTGTCTGGACTTGAGCAGAACGTCGTCGTAGGACACTAGGTCAGTGTCGACAAGCCTCAATTGCTCGTCGGTAAGCCTGCTTTCCGGGTCCAATGCGTCAATGTCGATCCTCCTCCAGTCTTCCATGATAAATGCGCTGTTGATGTTGGTAGTTGTGCTGACTGAGCTGCGTATGCCTCTGCTTCTGATTATATCCTCTTCTCTTTTGGTGACGTGCAAAAAGGAGACCCCCGGAAATGCGCTTCACCACGTGCGCGTGCGCGTGCCGGTGCCGCCGAAAGCCGGCGCATTTCCAGTAGGAGCCGAGATAGAAAATGCGAGGTCGTTTTTGCTTTGAGAGGATAAGCCAAACCTTCGCAGAGCTGGGAAGAGCTGCAAAGGTATAAATAGGAACTAGTTGGCTCCAGATCTCTCGCTTCTGCCCCAGGCTATTGCTTTCACTCTACTCATTCCTCTCGTCCTCAACACCACAACCACAACCATAATGTCCTTTTCCAAAGCCCTACTTAAGAACACATTCAATGCTGGCAGAAGAAGCTATGCCACCTCTGTAGCCAAGTTCACTGGCGCCAAAAACGCTGAGGGCAAGTACACTGTCACCTTGATTGAAGGTGATGGAATTGGTATCGAGATCTCCAAGTCTGTCAAGGATATCTACTCTGCTGCTAAGGTTCCAATTCAATGGGAGCCTGTCGATGTCACTCCCCAGCTAGTCAATGGGAAAACCACCTTACCCAAGGAAGCCATCGAGTCTGTTTTCAAGAACAAAGTAGCACTCAAGGGCCCCTTAGCTACTCCAATTGGTAAAGGCCATGTCTCCTTGAACTTGACCTTGAGAAGAACCTTCAATTTGTTTGCCAACGTCAGACCATGCAAATCAATTGTCGGCTATAAAACTCCTTATGATGACGTTGATACCGTTTTAATTAGAGAAAACACTGAGGGTGAATATTCTGGTATCGAACATACAATTGTTCCCGGTGTCGTTCAATCAATTAAACTAATCACAAAGCCTGCCTCTGAAAGAGTTATTAGATACGCTTTTGAATATGCTAAATCCGTCAAAAAACCTCATATTTTGGTGGTTCATAAAGCCTCAATCATGAAACTTTCCGATGGGTTATTTGTTAATACCGCAAAGGAAGTAGCTAAAGAGTACCCAGGCATCACTTTGGATTTTGAATTAATCGACAATACCTGTCTCAAGTTAACTACTGATCCAACTCAATACTCAAATGTTGTTATGGTTATGCCAAATTTATATGGTGATATTATGTCCGATTTATCTTCTGGTTTAATCGGTGGCCTAGGTTTAACTCCCTCAGGTAATATGGGTGACAATGTTTCCATCTTTGAAGCTGTTCATGGTTCTGCTCCTGATATCTCCGGCAAAAACTTGGCCAACCCAACCGCTCTACTATTATCTTCCTGTATGATGTTGAGACATATGGAATTAAACTCATATGCTGACAAAATCGAAAACGCTGTCTTGAAGACAATTGCCTCAGGTCCAGAAAATAGAACTAAAGATTTAAAAGGTAATGCAGGTACTGATTCATTTACTAAAAAAATTATTGAAAATTTATAAACTAAATTATTCGCTTAACTGTTAATTAATCCTTTAATTAATTTTTAGTTTTTTTTATCAATTTTATTAGTTTTACTAAAAATTAAGATCACTACTACTATTATTACTATTACTACTACTATTATTATTAATAGTTTGTTTTTATCTCCCTTTATTTTACTAATCTCTTATATAAATTTCTAAATGATTTATGATTATGTTTATATTCATACTGGATATATATTTTACTGAATAACTCCATCTTGTATCTTCCAACTCAATTTTTCTCTTGTATGTCAAATCAAAAACTTAAATGGCGTTTGAAAGGAAAAAAAAAGTATTGGTGATTTTTCTTTACTAAATCCGTTTTCTTCGGGTTTATTGTTTCTGTTCTCTCACCAACTCAAAATTATAGAATTTGGCTTTGGGATCGTGTGACCGTGATTGCGAATTTCCAGCTGTGTGGATCAAATTGTCAAAGAAATACCCATTCTCAAATAAAAGAAGAAAAATATAGACAAGCTTAACTAACACAATAAATGTTGAACATCAACAGAATGTCACTATAAAAGTTGAAGACCAAGATAACTCCATCATAAATGCTAAAATTCAAAAAAAGTAATTTTAAAACAGGTGGTGATCCCACAATTGATATTAAAAGATTAGAAACGTGTTGTTTTAAATCATATAAATTAGATATAGATTTTACTTTTAATGGTCTTGTTGCACAAATTGAAAAACTTATGTTGAAAAATGGTAGCTTTGGTGTAGTAATTAGGAATGAAGTAAGAAGATCTGCAAAGAATATGTAGATCATCATAACTTATATTGGTAACAAAGATACTATTAGTGATGAAGTAGATAAACTTATTGAAGCAAATAAAAACACTATTCTGCAAGATCCCCATAACACAAATCAACAAAAAGCAGAATATAAAGATTATCCTGATGGAGTTTCTGTAAATTTCTTCAAATATATCTATCGGACGTATTTAATTTCTTCATTTATATTGAACTTTTTTTTTATCACTATTGGTACATATACATTATTATCTTTATATCCAATAAACATTTGGTTTTATCTTATTTTTATGTCATATTAAGGGCTACCAAGATTCAGAATTCTTTCTCGAATTTTAGATCTCTAATGGTAGGGCTCTCAGTTAGGGCTCCAGTCATTCTATTCCTCATCATCTTAATCATTATTATTATTAATATTCCGTGACCGCGAGCCAGCCGTGTGGGACTCGTAGACCTATATAGTAGCTATAAACTGTTGTTTAAGAATAACCAAAACCAACTCCTTAATTCTAAGCGAGGTGTAGAGAGACCTGAGTATCCTAAAATAACTGCTAAGAACAAACCTCCTACATACCATTCTTCTTTAATTTGTTTAGAAAAGCAAATGCTCTATTAGTTACAAAACCCTACAATTAAAATAATTGCTCCTAGTAACTATATAGTCTGGAGGGTTGGCCGAGTGGTCTAAGGCGGTAGACTTAAGATCTACTGGGAGATTTCCCGCGCGAGTTCGAACCTCGCATCCTTCATTTTTGACCTATTTTGATATCTATCCCGTTAAAACGGGGTTTTACTGATCAAATCGTTTTTCATTTTCAAAAATTTATGTTTTAACTTTTTCGGCAGCGGTCCGCGAGAGTTTATTTTAATCCGGATTTGATTTTGATTTTTTTTGGAACTCAGTTTTAGAAGTTTCATTTATCAAATAATGAAAGATTAATGAGTAGACATTATGTTTTATTAAAAGTTATTTTTTATTGAATATTTATTTATTAATGATTACAATCTTCTATATATTAAAACATTAATCTATGTAACTCATTTATCTAATTGGCTTCAAGTCTTTTTTCAATGATTTGAAATTTACCAATGTTTTTCTTTAATAATGGTTCTTCAAGAACTTTAGCAAACCAAGCTGAAATGTTTGGATGAGCTGAAGCCCATGATTTATCCCAAACGGTTTCAAAACATTGTTTGAAGAAAACGGCTGAAAAGAAATCAGCTAAGGTAACACCACTGCCAACTAAAAATGAATTGCTAGCAAGATAATCTTCAAAAACTTTAGCGTATTTATCTAATTGAGCTCTACCACCAAAGACTCTTTTTTCATCATATGGATAAGCTCCAATGACTGGGAAAACTGCATTAACATATTCAGTTGTAATATCAGAGTTGATGAATGATAACCATTTAAGAACTTCAAAATATTCATCCTTGGTTGCACCTAATAAATTACCTGGGTTCTTGATTAATGAAACAACATATAACAAAATAGCTAATGTTTCATGTAATTTATAGTTACCATCAGTACCAAGGTAAGCTGGAACTTTACCTAATGGGAAATTCTTAGTGAATAATTCATCCTTTTCACCAATTCTAACTGGCAAGTTATAATATTCAATGATATAGTTTAAAATTGGGCAACGTGGAGAAGCAGCTGGGGAGTATAAAGTACCGACAACAGACATTTTAGTGAGTTTTGTTTGAATTGAATTGAAAAGTAGAATTGATTGCTTAAGAATAGTCAAGTGGTTCTCAAGAGATTCGTACTATTGATGATATCTTTGGAATATATTTCAAAAAACATCATCAAATCTTCTCTTCTTATATACCTTGATCCCATCAATGAATTAATAATCATTTCCTGCAATTCTTTACCAGCTTCCATCAATTGAGTTTCCTATTCCATACTTCGATCTCATCATCGCTGATTTCCATCAGCTATCTTTAACCAACTTCAATTATCAACAATTATCATCGATTATCACACAATCCTCCCCAGCTCTTAAAATGCCCCAGCATGTGGTGTCTGGTTGGTTGCTGTTTCCAAAAATTTGCACTTCAGCAAAAATATTTCTAGATTCGGTTAAAAGACTCGCTCTTTTCACCGCTGCAACCCAACGGACGATGAAATTTTAGTTTCAGGTCCAGTACTGTGGATCCACTCTTAGCGCGCCTGGCCAATCAGAGCGCTGTGTTTCTCGAAAGCTGTTGGGGTCTCACCTCTGCTTTCAATGCCTACTGATGGCGATGGTGCTCTTCAACCTTTGGCTCTAACAATTAAAAGCGACTATTTGGGTTATGTTTTGCTTCTCTGGCTCCTTACCTCCTGCTCTTTGAGTAGCCCGCAAAACTGAAAATCTCCTTTTCTATTCCTACCCTCTTAATTACTAATAAAGTGTTGCATTTCTAATCATTTTCTTATCCAGAACTCCACCAAATTTAGAAACTGATGGAATCTTTGATAAAAGCAACGCGTTTTGATTTGGTTTTATTTTTTTTACTTTATTTACTTTTCAGTTCGTTCCTTTTTTTTATTTTTTTATTTTTTCGTGTGTCGAAACCTTAAAACACCATAGCCAAAATTTTATTTTCAAAACCTTCAACCTAACGATCTTTAATCATGTATTTATCATATTCCTGAGATGGCTGCTAATAATGATCCTAACGCTGATATTCAAAATAAACGAGCTAATTCAGATATAAAAAATGATTTCAAGACCTTTGCTGTCCTGAGTGGAAACCAAGGTGCTCCTTCCATCTTCAAATTACCATCTTTCTCCAACAGTATATTGTTTGAGAATTCTCAAATTGCAAAAAACACTAATGATTCAAATATTAATCCAGATAAAAATTCAACCAATGGTCTCTTGGATTTTCCTGACTTTTTGAAGCATTCACTACCTATCATAGACCAATCTTTATCCAGCCATAATTCCTATCCAGACTCTTTATTTTTTCAAAACTCATTAGAAAATCAAATTGAACAATTAAATGAAAACTTAGATGAAAATTTAGACTCTTTACCTGAATTAAATACTAAAAATTCTTTTTCACTAAATAATTCTATTGACGACGTTTTGAAAAACAGTCTTAATTCTTTAGATACTTCTAATATCTCAAATCCTTTTGAAAATTTAGAATCTCCTAATTCAAATTTATTTAAAACTAAATCCGTCAAATTATTTAATAACAAAACAATAAAGCTAAGATCCAAAATCAATATTAATATATCTGATAGCTCAATTTTAAATAAAAAGAATAATCTTGTCAATCAGAATGACTCAATAATTAATATTGATACTTTATTTAAAAACTTGGAAATTAGCAATATTTATAAGAAAAATAGATTGAATAATTTAAAAAAATTAAATAATTCAAATCAATTACAAAATACATCTTCAAAAAACTCTTTGTTTGTTGATAAATATAGACCAAAATCTTTTTTAGATCTAATCGGCAATGAAAAACAAAATAGGTCAATATTAAAATGGCTAAATCAATGGAACCACTGTGCGTTTAATAACCAAAGTGATTTATATAAACACGACAACAATCATAATAACAATAACAATAACAATAACATGGAAATTGATGATCCATTTAATAGACCCAACAAAAAAATCTTATTGATTAATGGTCCTCCAGGAACTGGAAAAACAACTATATCTCATTTAATTGGTAAGCAATTGGGTTATGAAATCTTGGAAATTAATGCGAGTGATGAGAGATCTGGAGTGAGAGTTAAAGAAAAACTATTAAATCTTTTGAATAACAATTTATTGAATGCAAAACCTCTTTTACTAATTTGTGATGAAATCGATGGAGCATCGGAAATTGGATTTATAAATATTTTACTCAATATTGTTCAAAATGATGACAAATTGACCAAACAATTAATTCAGCTTCAATTACAAAACCAAAATAAAAATAAATTAAAAAATTCAAAGAAAAAATTCAAATTTATACTAAGACCAATTATAACAATTTGCAATGATTTATATTCCCCTGTTTTAGAAAAATTAAGAAATGTATCCGAAATTGTTACATTTAAAAAGATATCAAGCAATCTTATTAAAAGTAGACTAAAACGAGTTTGTGATCTTGAAAAGATGGCAGTTAGCAATAAAGGAGAGCTTTTAGATGAGATTATTGAATTAAGTAATAATGATATTAGAAGCTCATTAAATTTGTTACAGTTTAAAAACAATGCTATTAAGCATGGGTTTAATGTAAATTCTGATTTTGAAAATATAAATGAAAACAATTATAAAGATATAAATATTCCAGTTTTTAGATTAAATAATTTAATCTTTAAAAGAAATATTACCAAAAACAAAATTGAAAATTATAATAAACTAAAGGGGCTTTTAAATTATAAAGTTGGGAATATAAATATTGAAAAACTAAATAACAATTTATTCAAAACGTTTCCAAAATTTAATGACAATAACAGGTTGTTTAATAATGAGAAGAGTTTTTCAAAAGTTTTAGATTGGATAAATTTTAATGATTATTTAAGTAAGAGCCGTTTTCAATTGAATAGTAATTCAATGGGAGGAGGAGAAGATTTGATCAAGTATTTATACGATGTACCATTAGTTTTTTTTGAAGTGTTTAATGATTTTAATAATAACAATAGTAATATTAGTAGTACGGTTAGGGGAAATATGAAGCAGAAAGAAAATGATAATGAGGACGATGAATGGGAGATAAGTAATCGAAACAAGAGAAATAAAATGATGATTAGTAAATTTTTGGATGGAAATAGTAAAATGATTATGTACTGTAATGGGTTGAAAAAACGAGATTTGGTTATTGAGTTTTTGCCATATATTTATAATTTTATGTTAAAAATTGATGACGATTTCAATGAGCATTCCAAAGAATTTAAAAGCAAAGTTCAAAAAGTAATTGAGATTATGAACATTTTGAATATTTCAATTAGCTATAATAGTAACAATGGTGATTCAGATCAAGAATTCAATAAAAATGGGTATTTTTTTGAGTTTGAACCAAATTTTAAAGTGATTACATTGTTTGGGAAGCAGAAAAATAAGAATACCAATCCCAGAATAACAAGGTTGGTGAAGAACGAAATCAGGAAGATAAACGAACAAAAGGAGAAAGAGAAAATGACAGAGCTTAAGAAAAGAAAAGCGACTGATAGTAGGTACAATGAAAGAGAGATAACTCTAAAATCGAGCAAAAATAAGGACAATGATTCCAATAGCGAAGAAAACGAAAGCGATAGAAAACGAAAAAAAGTGACAGTAATGGATTTCTTCAAAAACAGTTACCACTTGGAGGAAAACAAAGCCAGTAAAGACAAGCAAAAAAGCGATAGAATATGGATCAAGTACCACGAAGGATTCACCAATGCTGTAAGGAAGAACGTTCTTTGGAAAGATCTCTTTTAGCTTTACCAATGTTATATCGACGAATATATTTTGCACTTTTATTCACTCCTTTCAGGGATATTTCTACCACAAACTTCCACGAAATTTTCGTGCAGAGAGCAGCGTATCCACGCATAGAGCTACAAGTACACACTGAACATGCATGTACACGTGTGGTCTGTCATACTCTGTCAAACCTCAAAGCGTGATTCTGTTGTGAGAGGTGTGCACTGAGTTCCGGTCCAACTCAGCTTAGTGTTGTTTTTCATTTGGCTGTGATGGAGCCCTAATTAGCAAGACACAGGCAAATCCGGTTGGAGCCACCTCGGATGTGCTCTGTTACGAGCGCATTACGAGGCTGCCCACCTGGGCCCGAGCCGGTTCTGATTTCTTTCGTCAGGCAAAGCTCAGTTTTTACCTTTGATTTTGATTTTGTTTTATATCGCAACAATCTTAATTCAGATAACAATATAATCCCCAGCTCAAAGTGTTTCGAACCAGTTTGGTTTAGTTGAATCCCCAGCTCAAGTCCAGTGTCGCAGAGCACCATCGCAGATTATAGCCAGACGATTCCACAGAGATTGTCAGACACTTTTGAAACTGCATAAATCCTTAAAATCCAAATTCAGCTCACAAGAAGTTTAAAACTAACTAAGGAAATTGAATTTGAAGAAGAAAATTATTTCAGATTGGATTTAAACTAATCTCTTTCATTCCTTTACTTCATTCGTTCCTTTGTACTGTTTTATCTTTTATTTTTGCTTTTTTTCTGCCTTTTTTGCTTCCTTTTCCTTATCAAGTTATATTAACTCCAGCTGAAACCTCTGCTTGACCCCAATTAACACCACTCAAATAATTTTTTTTTCTTACAATATCCTTTTCTATTGAAGACAATTAAAACAAATCCAAGGGACTTTTTCGCCCCCAATTCTGATTGAACTATAAATCCTGAGTATATGGCCTATTTTTTTCCCTCAAACACCTTACTCAATTAACCCAATTAATTCAACTAGCTCACATAAACAGCTTTCAATCCATCATCCATCTACTCTTTTATCCTCTTGTTTCTATTTATTTATTTCTCCTTTGTCTTTTCAATCTACTTTCTTATATTATAACCATGTCTTACAAATTTCCTTCCCTTCCTCACAAATCTCCAAATCAAAAAAACAAAAACGACAAAAACGACAAAAAGAAACTATATCCTATCCAACGTTTCTCCGATGATACTTACAATAACTTGAATTCAAAATACAACTCTATCTTCCAAAACGTTGATAAAGATATTAAATCTGAAAACGAATTAATTCAATTACACAATAACCAAATTGTTTCTCAATCTGAGAGAAGCAATAATCCCAACCCCAACGATAATAATCACAGTAGCGTCACCGATAACTCGCAATCAAACGAAATTTTGAAAAAAGACCAAATTATTGAAGATGTCTTTTACACAAAAAGTTCTGATGAACTCATTAAAATTAACATTAATGAACTAAACAGAGATCCGGATTTGAAATGCTCAATTTTAACATCTGGTGAAATCAGATTCCATACTGATCCCCTTAAAGATAAAAAAATTAGAGAGCGATTTGAATGGGAATCAATGGTTCATTCTGTGGTTACTGGTCATTTTATAAACTTGGAAAAGGACAAATTTGCTAAAAGTTTCCTACGTGACGATAACAAGTCAATTATCAAAAATGCTCTAAGTAAAAATATATGGATAGAATTAAAAGCAAACACCTACCGGAGAACCACCGAACAGCAGTCTAAATTAATTAATAACAGAAGAAAATTCGCAGATAGTATATTTGATAAAATTTCAAATTTCAAATTCCAACCTGTCACTTATCCCAGCTATTCATCCACCATCTCAAAATCAAAGCCAAACAACCAAGAATCTACACAAGCAATCATAGATAACTCAGATTCAAACCAAATCGGTATTAATCAAGAATCTCTTACTCATCAAAACAATAGTACAAATAAAAATACTAGAGCAAACAGAAATAAAAAAAACGAAAAAGCTCCTAATGAAGAACTTTTGCAATCTAAAAGTCAAAAATCAAAAAGAAATCTACATGCTAAAGCTAAAAAGGCAAACATATTTATTGAATGTGAAAATCCATATATTAATGATTATTTTCAAAAAAATGATGAATATGAGAAAGAAACAGATTTGATCTTTGATGACCAGAAACCACAAACAAACTATAAAGTCTTTCAAGAACTTACCCTAGAAGAAGTAGATAGAATATTAGACGATTATGATAAATGCGAGGAATTATGGGAAACTTCAACTGAAATGATCAGCGATAAACCTATATGTAATACTACTGTTTTTAAACTAAAACTAAAGGCTTTAAGAACATGGAAAACAAATTTGCTATTGTTCCAAAATGAAAAAGACAATATCAAAAGATGGCTAGGAGAAACTGATTTTACAAAGTTGAAATTTAATTCCAATGATAAATATACAATTGATAAAATCTTAAAATTAGTAGATGGAAATCCTTCCAACTTTTTTGATTCGGGTGTTCATCATCGTTTTAGAGCAAAAGTATTAAGAATTCTAGGCCACTGGTCTCTAGAAACAAAAGAAGCATACATTGTCTATAAAGACCAATATAGAGAAATGAATTTGCCGAATAACCTTGATGAATTTATAAGTTTTGTCACTCTACCTGCAAAAATTTTAAAAGAGCTAATACAGCTTAGAGTATCCAATTTTGAACAAATTAACAACGTTAGTTTACGAAGAAAACTAGTCAACGTTGCTGAGTTTGATGCCTTATCAGCAGATATCAAATCATATACAAGACTAGCAATAGAAATAAAAAGCACACTAAACAATTTTCTACGTCCACAAAGAAACTGGGTTATTTCTAGTTATTTGGGAGATGACTATGATAAAACACTCTTAAGTTCTGTTAAAAGTTACTTTAAAATGTTAAATCAAAAATTGCTTGATCGATCAATAAGAGAAGACACTTTCAATACATTTAGGGAATCTGAAGAATTGGAACACGAATGGAGATTTTTCAAAGACATTGGTTATGCTTTTGATTTAGTCAATTCGGTGGATATCGTCTTGCCTTATATAAAAATATTTTCACACCTTTCCATGCGATTAAATCTTTTTCTTGAGAATCAATTGAGGGATGAAAATCCCAATATTACCTCTTATACAGCATCAAAAAGCTCTCCTTATCCTAACTTGTTCAAAGGGGGTTTAGTTCCTGAAAAATTAATAAAATTAATGGAAGCAGAAAATAAAAATAAAAATGGCAAAAAAATAAAGCCCAAAGAAAATAAAATTGAAACATTGAATAAGGAATTAGTTACCAGGTATACTTCAGTTGCTGAAGGTTTCAGCAATTTCAAAAAATCTTTGGATATAATTGATTCTAGATTGGAAACTGTCTTAAATAATTCTTCACTAATTAGATTAAAATGTCTGAACAGTAGATTTTTGGAATTTCTCAAACAAAAAAATCATTATTTGGTTAAAATTGGCAAGAAAAATGAAAATTTTGAGTTTGATTTCGATAATAAAACCGAAGATGTTTCTTTGTATTTATTTTGTAATGAATCAGCAACCAAATCTGAAATTTCCATTGTTAAAGCGATTCTAGGGTCTAATATTTGCTGTTCAAGAGTAAGACCTAATTTTACAGACCTTTTAAATGCTAAAAATCCTTTCACCTTGCGTGAAAACCAGTTTCCTAAAAAAAAAGCTTTTTCTGATCACCAAGAATATCTGATTATGATTCCTCTTAAAAAAAATTTTACTTGGAAAGGAAATGTGGTCAAAATAAACTTGGATCATATTGCTTCAATCACAAAATCAGATTTTACAGTTCCAAAGATATTTAACATTTCTTCAAATAATTGTCTTTTGATCACTCATGGACTAGTGAATACTCTTGAATCAGCCAAGTATCATTTTTTAGAAAATGTTAAGACCTTTGAAGATGAAAATTTTATTTTATCTGAGAATAAGCCTATGACGAATTCCAAAGACTATTTAACCATAGAATCAGACTTGATAAAATTTTCAGGCATCGATACCTGTAGCATAGAAGCAATTGGAAAAGAGTTTGCTGGTTCAAAAAAATATTCTGATATGATGATGATACAGTTGCTCCAAAATTTGCCGGAGATTAGAAAAAAATATAAAGATTGTACCAATAAAGAGCCATTGCAATTTTTATATGTTTTTGTTAGAAAATATGTTTTAGAAGGGTTTTCTAAAATTGCAAATATTAATAAAAAAAGGATTTTAGATCATCTTTTAGTTGCTAGTTTAGACTGGCTAAATTTTATTGTTGAGGATTGTAATCCATTTGATAAGAGCACGTTTCAATGGGCCATTGCTACCATTGAATTCACTCATTGGTTTCTTCAAAATTATGGAATACACAGGCTTCCTGATGAAAAGTTTAAACTGTATAAGTTTAATGTTGCAAATTGTGTATCAATCTTAGTTATAAATTTTGATGTTCTCGGTGCTCGTGCTGAATACAATCAAAGGTTACTTAATTTAGATCAGGTTGGAAAAAAAGATAACCAGGGCAAAGATGAAGACATTGTCGCTTTGAAATCAAAAGAAAGAATGAAATTAATAAGTGAACTCGAATTCAATAGAGATTCAATGGCTATTAAACATGGTGAAATTGGCCAGGTCATGGAGGTTTCTCGACCAGTAACAAAATATATTGATTCTTTACTGAAAAAATATTTACAGTTTGCTCATCAATGGCATAAAGGCCCCTTAATAGGTCGTGGATCATTTGGTTCTGTTTATCAGGGAGTAGATTTAGAAACAATGACTTCGTTAGCAATAAAGGAAATCAGATTTCCTAACACTGGTGATATTTCTACTGTTTATAGTATGATTGAGGGGGAAATCAGCATTTTAGAGCAAGTAAATCATCCCAATGTTCTTGGTTACCATGGACTAAAAGTGTACAGTGACAGAGTTTACTTGTTTACGGAATATTGTTCTGAAGGAGCATTATCAAGATATATCATCAAAAAGGCGGGTATTATAGACGAGTATGGTGATCGTTGGGAAAGATTGATTCAATATTATACTTATAATATATTAAAAGGCCTCCAACATTTACATAGCAAAAACATTGCTCATTGTGATTTAAAACCAGAAAATATTTTATTAGCTGAAATGGCTGAAGTGAAAATTGGAGATTTCGGAACCGCAAAAATGTTAAACTCTGACAAAAAAATTATATATGGAACAAAAACCAAATTTTTTCAGTCAAAAGGAACATCTAAAACCAGAGGAATAACTAGTGGGACACCAATGTATATGGCTCCTGAAATAATAAAGGCAGATAAACGACTTAACACAGAGTCATTTTGTGCTTGCGATATATGGTCATTGGGTTGTATTGTATCTGAAATGGTTACGGGACTTAGACCATGGGAAAATGCAGACAATGAGTGGGCAATAATGTATCAAATAGCATCTGATATGATGCCAAATCTCCCTAAACCTGATGAATTTAGTTCTGATGGAATTGAATTTATCAAAAAATGTTTTATTCAAGAACCAACTAAAAGACCTACTGCTGCAGATCTTCTCAATGATCCTTGGATTGATTCATGTCGTGAGATATTTGAAGAACAAGATGCAGTAAAATTGCAGCAGCGCGAAGCAACACTTAGGGCAAATCAGGAATATAATCGTCAGCACTACAGTCAATTTGTTGATCCAAACCAAATATTTGACGAAAGCCAAGAATACAACCAAAATCAAGTATTTGATGAGAATCAAGAATACTACGGCAATCAACAGTTTAACGATCAGCAATTTTCAAACCATTTTAACCAGCAATATCAAAATCAGAAATTTGAAAATCAATTATATAATGATCAATCATATGAAAATCAGCCATTTGAAAACCAGCCATATGAGAATCAACCATATGAAAATCAACAATACAATAATCAAGAATTCAATAATCAAGAATTCAATAATCAAGAATTCAATAATCAAGAATTCAATAATCAAGAATTCAATAATCAAGAATTCAATA